TCACAACAGTCTGCCTGCATTTCAGACATGACACACAAATTGTGGAAGGCAGGGTAACAGCATGGGGTTGTAAGGAGACCTGAGCTCAGGCAAAACAGATAAATCTTGATTTTACCAGAACACATTGTTTTAAGAAGTACTAAGGAAATTCCACTGCTAATGGATAGGAAAACGAAAGTATACAGCATGACATGATTGTTTTCATTTTTAAAACAAGGACCTAATTTTTTATTTTAAAAAGATATCTTTAAGTTTCAGTCTTTTGTCTCATACCAATTGTTTGATATCACTGGTTCCCTTTGAAACTCATTTTGACAACCACTTAGTGATTTCAGCAACACTGCCCACTTTATATACAGTACCGCTTATAAATTGTCAAATTTGTTGTCAGATAAAAAATGAACACAGGCTAAGATGTCAATCAGCATAAAAAAAATATAAAATGAGGCATTTGATAATTTTTTGTATTTTTGTTGGCCAGTTTTGAGGGTTTTTGGCAGCTCAGCTGCCCTGATTCTGCAGTGGTGTGAAAATGTTAGATTTGTGCAAGGAAGAAAAACTTTACATGTTTTTTTGTGCCCATCTGAGGGAAAGGCTGAAGGAAAGGCACAAGGAAACCCACTGGCATTAAGGATGTAGTGAAAAATAAAAACCAAACCCAAACCTTCTGCAGAGCAGGATGCAATTAACAGCAAGACACAAAGCTGCAGGAAAGCAAACCTCATGGAAATACTTATTAATCTTCAAAATGTCTTCTGCATTAACAGAGAAACTTCCCAGTCACAGTGGGCTGAGAAACTGATTCTTGAATAACATTTATTTGAGAGCACCTTCATCAGAACCAGGCTGTACCCTGCACAAAATCTCCTCTACCTTCACCTAGTCACAAGAGACATCCAAATACCTATATAATTCAGGCTCTTCTGCAGTCACTCTGTCCCTGATATCCCCCAAAAATAAAGAACCCAAAAGTTTTTATAGGGCCACACATTAGCCAGCTATTGAAAGCAGAACAAATGAAACCAAGGAGGCTGCCAGCAGCCTGGGTAGGCAGCAATGCAGCCTAACGTGACAAACTACTTTCAGGCTTTTGAAATATAAGAAAGGAGGCCTTTTCCTCACTTTTGCTTGGATTATTTTGATTCTAACCCAATTTTTGGTTGATGGAAAAACTCTCATTAATCTCAGTCACGCAGGCTCTAGCCTGCCTGGCACACCACCAGCCATTAGGGGAGCAGGGAATGTTACCCTTCTCTCCTCAAATACTGATGAACCAGATTCCATTACTGACACGATCAGCTAGATTTGTTCAAATGACCATCAGAGTGACCACTAAGAAAAAGCCAAGTTATTCACACCAGATTTCCAACTACGTGCCCAAAAGTTTAAGGTACTGAGTATGGCCAGCTCTCAAAGGCATCTAATGTTTCTGAGGAAACTCAGGGATTTAGAAAGCTGTCAAGATCAGAAACAGAACCATTATTTTTCCAATCAGCCTTTTTAATTTTCTCTGCATTTTACTAACTTTAGCCATGTACAGAACTCATTGAGGTTGGGTAATTTTTTTTGTTGTTGTTAGAGTTGTTTCTGTTATGGTTTGTTTTCCCTGACTTGGCTTGGTTTCTTTTTTGAACAATTATCTTTTACATGACAGTAAAAAAATGCCACAGCATTCCTTTCTCTAGCTACAAACCAAACAAGATAAGAGTGATTTCTCTGTTACTTTTCTCTGACTACATGAAAAAAACATGACCAAAAATTTCAAGTCCATAAATTTGACTAATAAACACGTAAAGATTGAGTCACAAGCTGCGTGACTGCAGAACGATGGATTAAGATTATGTCACGAATGATTTTTTTTGTGAAGTTTGAAAAAAAAGCACCACATGGAGCAGGAGTCAGATACATCTTTCTCCCTAAAAAATGATGCTGAAACCAATAAAATTCCTCCCATGAATATGCAGAGCAGGGTTTGACTGTACTCCTTTTGTTCTGTATGAATTATCCATCACATTTCTATTGTATATTATTAAAGTGACTTGCTTTATCCTCCCAACCCCCACATCTGTGCTGCTGTAATTTATGTGAATTACGGTTAATGATCATTTGCATTATGCTTAATCAGCATATCAATAATATACTCTGCACAGAGTAAGTAGCTCTTCTTTCTTTCCCTTTTAATGAAACCTATAGAAATGGAGCTGGGGTTTGACTGATTGGCATCACAAAAAGGTTGCCTGGGCAGGTGCTGGGGATGGTGGCCCAGGACAGGGGCCTTGTGGCTGCTGCCAATCATGCTCAAGCATCAGCAAAACCTGCTATTATACTTTTTAGTTCTTGTGCCTTGCTATCTGGAGGGGCCAGTGCTTTGTGCCGACAGGGTTTTAATGAGCTTGACCAGATCAGTGTTCCCGGAGCCAAGGCTGTGGCTGTGTGGGATGGTTCAAGGGGAGATCACATTCTTCCAGGGTGATATTACTCACCAGAGTCTAAATCACTGCCATTACAGCGTGCTCATGTGGGACACACAAACCCCTGAATACCAATGAGCTACAAACCTTAACATGAATATTCAGGAATTTCTGGAAAGCTATTATTATATATGCCCAAGTCGAGACAACTTATAGAAATAAAGAAGAACCAATCAATTCAGGTCATTTTGCCAGAAATCAATCAATATCATGTAACAACAGGACAAAATTATTAACCTAGTAAGAGGTTTGTTAAACACTTCAGTTAAATTATTTTTTAAAACTCTGTAAGTCACCAGCTTTGGTGTCCTGACATTTATGTGAACACTGCTGCACGCTCGAGAGGAACTGGCACGACACCAATATTCTCATTTGTGAGTCACAGCCTCCAGTGCAGCTCTATCAGCTTTACCTTCTAAATCACTGCTCTGCTATTAGCAATCTTTCAATATGATGTGACATCTTTATTATAATGTTTTTCCACTGAAGTTTAAGTTCATATTTTAGCTCAGAGACAGACACAGCCATATTTACCAGGTTTAATTAATTGACTATAAATAAAGGGCTGTAAGAAGGCGGCGCCTCTCTCACACGATGCTCAAGTTGTCACCATTTTACAGCAAAATGCCAATTGGGATAGGATAAACATTGTTATTTCTACACTTTACATTTATATTTCAATATGTAAGCTTAAAATTTCAAGGTATTTTGAAGACTCCAGTCTAGAGGCTCAGTTCTCTTCCAAAAACAGTCACAGCATATGATCTACATTAATTTACTGCCACGCGATTTTTAACGAGGAATTTCATTAACTTGCAAGAACATCAGTGAAATTCCATGATTTACTTTGGCTTCCATATCCGAGGATATGGCAGTAAATAGGAACAGCATGTATAAACACACGCAAACAACAACTTGGGCTGGATTTACCTGACAAAAACTTGCAAAAGCCAATAAAATTGACCTTGACAGATCCAGGGGCCCTTTTTGGTGGGGTAATGCAGCACATCTGTTTTCCTTATAGCCCCCATGATACCCTGCATCATTCCCTACCAACTGTTTGAGGCATCCAAGGCAGGAGAGACACAGCTGCAGGGAGCAGAGCAGCAGATCTGCACAGCTGCAAGAAGCTGAGCCGAGCAGGAGAGCAAAGCAGAGGAGCAGTGGGAGCTGGGAGAGAAAGCCTTCATTAAAAAAAAATGCAAGTGAAAAAAAGAAAACCACACTGATGAACTAGAAATTGCTGGAGAGTTCCCTCTTGGACATCCTGTTTAGAGATGTTTCTTGTTGGGAAAAGTCAGCAGAAAAAGCCACTAGGAGGAAACCTGAACCCTCTTCCCACTTCTTTCCCATGAGAATGGAGCAATTTTATCCAGAGACATGGAGAGAGATCCATGCATAAACTCAAAAAATGAACCAAACCTTCATCCTTAAATACTGCAAAGCACCTGCTTAATGTCTAATATCAAGAAGGCACAACTTAAACATTAGCAAAGGAATCCCATGAGGCAGGGATGCAAAGGCACTCTTAACATTGATTCTGTAAAAGTGATAAAGGTGAATCAACAGCTTGCCCAAAGCAAAAACTTGATGGCTCAGCCTTCTCTGAGAACAAGGATATGGGGGTTCTGGACATGGGGGTTCTACTGCCAAGTGGGGTTTTTTTGTGTTTGGGGGAAACAGAATGCAGGAATGCAAGAGTCATCCTGCATATCGGCATGACGTAACGCAGAAAGAGAGAGGTGGGATGTTCCTACACACATACACACATTCCACAGAGACATGGAGGTGGGGAGTGAACACATATCAGCATCACTAGACAGATATGCACCATTTAGTCATCAATACGATGTTATTCAAGAATTTTTTTAAAAGAGTCTTGTTGAAAAAAGCCATGTAGGAATGATGGAGTTAGCAAATTGGAAAGCACAGGTGCTTTAAGACTCTACTTCTAAATCTTCCAATAGAATACCTAGTTTCATTAGATTTGGATACAAGGTAAACAAAACAACCACCAACCTCCTCCAGAACATTATGTATACATTTCTGTAGTAATACTTTAACTCATGAGTTGAACAGTTTAGCAACAATTCAGCACAGAAGTTACAAATAAGTACTTACATCAGCCACTTATGTCCGCACAGCTTTCACCTCCCACCACTTCCATCTGAGCAAATTAGCAAGTAACACCATGAAGCAGAGCCATGGTCTATTTTAGAAATACACTTTATGACAGAGAAGGAGCAGTACCTAAAGAGAACTTTTTGCTACTGTTGTTCAGTGCACCTCTTGCTTTCATGTTTCTCCCCAAGGAATGGGCCCTTCCAAGGGTTTATCTGCAGTGGGATGGGTCCTCTAAAGAGAAGGCCCCACACCTGTGTAAGCCATATTTTGCAAGTTCAGAGCAGATTATTTCTGCATCTCCAAAGCCCCAGCCTTATTGCACAGTGTCCTCTGAAGAGGAAACAATGGTTAAATGGCACATTGGTCTGCAGCAGCACTTTGCATTTCACACTCCAGTGGACTCACCCCATGTGACGGGTAGGAGATCCAGCCCAGCTCCCCTTGAATTGTTTTTGAATCCAGCAGATTAACTGCAAAAGAAGACACAAGGAAGAGGAGTGAGTTCCCTTTGCCTCTGCCCAGTTAACCTCAGTTACCCACACCCAGAGTTGTGTTTATTTGTGAGCAGATGATTTGTTCAGGTGGCCAGGCCGTGAAGCTGTACAAAAAAAAAAAGACAAATAAAAAAGATCGTCTCCTTTAGCTTAAAACACAATGAACAGCAGACAGGGCAACTTCTGAAAACCAGAAAAGTGACAAAAAACAAACAAGGGATCATGGCTAAATTAATTACAGCAGGGGGTGGGAACAGAGCTCTTCTATCAGCTGCACAAACCACAGCGTTTTCCCCTCGGATGCTTGAAATTTGGGTCACTGCATCTAACTGAAATGGTGAGATCTGAATATTTAAATCATTATTTGATTAAAGGCATCCATTTGGTATCTATAATCTTCTCAGAATACAGGAATAAATAATGAAAGCTGATTAAAGTCCTTCCCGCAGTTCTTTCTTGCTTCTGATCTAATTTGTTCTCAAATTGTCTTGCAGTAGTGTTTTCTAAATGTCATGTGTAACACATTAGATACAAGAGTAATTATTTACAATGCTACAAGTTCAGACAAACCTGCTTTTAAAGAGGGCCATCAACTGATTGCTAATCTTGCTGGTTTGGTTTTTTTTGGAGGGTTTTTTGAGTCATGCAATAATTTTATGTGTGAAAAGGAACATTTTATTTGTAAACAGTTTCACAGGCATTTTCTAGTCAATCAAATCTCAGTGGATTTATACCTTATTTTAAACACAACAGGTATTTAAAATAAATATGTACATCAAAATTATAGGATATTCTTCTTTTGACATTTGTTTCCTACAAGCACAAAAATAAAGCATTTTTCTCATCTTGGCCATACAGCCTCCAAGTGCTTGATCACACACTTCCCTAAGAACCACTTCTTTATCAACATGAAGCAGAACAGGTGAATTTATACAAAATACTGCATAAAAGAAAATAGCCTCTGTATAAATATCAACTAATGAAGTATTAATACTTCATAGCAACACTGTAATATTTATTATCTGCAATCTGAGCTTACTTTGTTCTGTGTGTTCGCCACCCCCCACACTCCCTTTATATTTTTTTCCCCTCCAATATGGAAATAATGATAACGAGAAATTAAATAAATCTCAGCATATGCTAGGACATTTTAACACCTGACAATGACAGGTTTATTAGAGGTAGCCACTGTAGCAGCTTCATCTTCTATTTGTTAACCTGAAGGGTTGTCACTGCTGCCAGAACCAGATGGCATGAGCATAGGTGTTCCAAGTAAACAGAAGAACAGGAAACAAAAAATGACGGACAGTGCCTATGAATCAGCTGAGTTAAGCTATTTGTATTATTTCATCATCCTCCTCTAACTGCTGTTTAATTTTGGACACCACTTAAAAAAAATAAAAAAACAGCTTTGAAGGCATTATTTTTACTGTTAATTGGAATGTGCAGAAGGAGACACAGCTGTACAGTATTAAAAATAAGATTGTGCTATAAAGAAACATAAATAAACATATTTTCTACATTTTTGTGCACACATATTTGTGTTCTGTATGGATATATGTGCACTGCTATACTGCCAGGACTGAGCTGCTCTGCCATCTATGTGAGAAAAATGTTTCCTCCTGCAGTTATATTCCCCTTTAAAAGAAAACAATAGCATTTTTTTATCCACATCAATAAACAAAATATCTTTACTAATCTTACAGAAAGAACATAATCCAGTGCTACATATTTCTTAGCTCTGAATCAAGTCCTCAATCATGTAGACAAAGAAAAATCAGCCAGTCCTTTATTGAGTGCACAGGGCCCTAGGCAGGCAACTCTGCAGCAAGGTTTGCATCCATAAAAAGGAAACACCAATAAAAACTCAAAAGGAAAAGCGCACTTCTCATTTTTTGTTAGCAGAAATTCCCACAGATTCTGGATCTCCCGGGATGAGACAGATCTGTTTGCCATGCACCTGCACTGCACGGTGCTGAAGGGAGTGTGACTCCTGAGGAAAATCACTTGGCAAGAAGTGGCTGAGGCAAATCACCCAGGGGCAAACTTAAGTGATATATTTTATATAGAATAAATAATATATATTAACATATTATTATATTAGTTATATATTATTTATTCTTTCAGGACAAGCTCCTGGAAAACATGACTGCAGTCACTCTGAAATTGATTAATTCAGTCCAAACTCAGTTTCATCTGCAAAACACATCCAGGCAATGGACCCACAGCTTGGTGGAAGTTCCCCCTCTCTAGATCTGCCCTGCAGGTCCAGCTTGCCCTCACAGGCATCACAACATCACATGGGTGGCAATGAAACGTTCACTGTCCCCCACAACAGGCAGGCGCCTCAGCCACGGGACAACCTGATATCATCAGGATCAAATCTATGAAGTTAAGAACAATTTTTCAGTTCTCTCCTTCATTCCACTTTCCTCATCTCCTTCAGACTGGAACCACTACTTTTCCATGCTCAAACATTTTAGAAGTCCTTCCAAGGGAGGTTTTCACACTGGTTACAGGAGACCTCTGGTTCAGATGGGTGTTGTGCTGTTCTTTAATAGTATCAAAAATACAAAAAACATATTTCCTTTCAAGTAGTAACCTGAAAAAAACACCTTCTTCTTCCTGATTAAAGCTTCTAGTGACTTCTAAAAGCTACTGTGACTTCCAGAGTTGCACATCTCGATAGAGGGGAAACAATAATGCAGAATTTAGAAGATGCAATCCTGGTCTCTAGACAAAACTGACTGGGAGAAGCAATGGTAAATTTTGTCATTGTATGTCCTAAAACTCTATATTAATCTGGAAACTGCAGAAGAAAATGGCATTTCCATACACAAAGACCTAAGAAATATATAAAGAATGGGTTAGAAATTCATTGTCTGATTTATTCTTCTTCATGGATTTGGATGGTTAGGTAAAAAGTAAAAATGGAAAACTTCATGCAAGCACTCAATTCCTACATTAACTCATCACAACTTCTTTTAATCCTGATAGATCCTTTAGTGTAACAACACACAACACTTGGTCAGGTGCATTTTGTGAACCAATTAATGAAGTGTTTCATGAAGATGTACTCAGCTAGATCCTCACTGGCAGGCATTTTTCAGTGTGATCCTCATTTGTTTTCCCATATACTATTAAAGTTAAATGGAAGCCAATACTTAAATAGCCTACAAATGCATACAGCCATATATTTACTAGATGAAAGAAGTTTATGAGTTTCTCACACAACTCATGTGCTCTCCTTGTACCAACTCCTCCTGCAAAACTGTGTGACCATCACTCAGCTGGTTCCTACAAAAATCCCTGAGGCTGACCAGCCAGTTACCAGGGGTAACTATAGAAAAAAAAGCTGAACACTTTCTTTGCTAGTGACAATTCTTTCCAACAGAATGCCTTGGAAAAGATTCCTGGTTTTGCTGAGGAGACACAGAGGAGCTCTCATAAAGCAACTTTAAGTAAATAAATAAAGTGCTGTCTAACTAGCTTGGTGTCCTGCATGTAATTACCTTGATTTAAAGCTAGCGGTAATTCCAAGGGAGAATTTACTGGTATTAAGATTAGCAGCCATGACTTCTGACTCTGAAAATCAGTGATTTGGTCCTCCTGTACAACAGCCCTGCTCTCCACACTACAATGCAGTATTTCTGCTGATACAGCACACCCCTAAAATGCCAATTAAGAATATTTTCTCCTTCTAGAGAGTCTTTCCTGATTCTCTTGCCCTTCCCCATGCACAGCCACAGGAGAAAGCATTATCAGCTCCCTCCATGTGGATTTCCAGGGGGTAAATCCAATCTCGCCCCAGAACTGGAGATTGGATGTGGATGTGAAACACAAAGCTCCCTCACTCTCCTCTCACGGCATCAGCAGCAGATGAATGGAGGCTTGGGTGGAATATGACACTTGTACTACCAGAAACTGCTTCCAGATTTGGGAGTGATGCTCCAGGGCTCACGAACAGCATGTTTCATCAGGAGGGATGTCAGGGAAAGGAAAGAACCCTAAAACTAAACTGATTCCTGAACACAGTCTGAAAGCTGCAGCATTTCCAGAAACACATGGGGTAATAACTGCCACCATGAGCTGAATATGGTAGAAATACCTCCCACAACAATAAAAATAAGCAAACAAATCTTGTGCCAGGTAGAATCACTCTGAGATTCCCCTCACTGCTGAAGAAATGAGGAAAGCCTGCTAGGGGACACTATCTGCAACTTGCAATATTTAGAGAACCACCTATAAACTTCACCAGTGGAAAGCATTTCCAAATTTTCTTCTTTGTATAGAAAATACAGAGCAATAGCCAATGTCAAGAGATACTTAAATCTTTTTTCTTCAGCTAATTAACATTTTCTATTAATATTTTAAAAATGCATAAAAAAACTCACACCACTATGTTGTCTTCTCTTGTCTGGCAACAAACTTTGAGTTTCTACCCTAGCTGGTTATTAAAAAAAAAATGCCAACAAATGGGAAAAATTAAATTTGCTATGCAACAACAGCAACAAAAACAAAACTAAAAAATGATGACTGACTAATTGAAATGTGCCATATAATCCCAAGCAGCAAAGAAAATACTCTGTGGCAGAAAGTCAGCCAGAACTTGGTTTTGGGGTGGGACAGAGTGGAGTCAGCACAAAGCCTGTTGTACATTTTTGGAATGGTGAACTCTTCCCAGCAAAGAGGGCTTGCACCTGTATTTTCATCCATCTATGAACACAGATCTGAGCCTTCCCAACTCTCCATTGCCCCAGCACTGCCAGCACATCACTTTTGTGATTATTCTGGGGCTAGAACCAACATTTACAGATAGGTAGGCAGAACTCAGGGCAAAGTTGCACCTTGATGCAATTTTAATTTCCAGCTAGGATCAGCTATCACACTGATGTTGCCAAAACCATGCTGAAACCAGCTAAGGCAGACCAAGAAACCTTTGGGAAGCGATAGCAAATAAAAAAGGGTGTCCAGCA